TGTTGCTCGCTCTTCCACTGAAGCTGAATACATGTCAATGGCTCATGTAGCAGCAGAACTCAACTGGCTCTGTTATCTTCTCACTGATCTTGGCATACAACTCCCTTGCTGTCCATTTATATACTATACTATGACAATGTTGGTGCCACTCAGCTCTGTTCCAATCACGTGTTTCACTCCAGAATGAAACATGTTGCAATTAATTTTCATTTCATTCGAGATCAAGTCCAAAATGGTGTTCTTCGTGTTGCTAATGTGTCTTCTGCAGACCAACCTGCTGATGCACTCACCAAACCTCTTCTACGTGCTCGTTTTCTTGAACTCAAATCCAACATTGGACTTCTCTCTTGAGCTCCATCTTGAGGGGGCATATTAGAGGCTTATCATAACATGTTGTAACCGCCATTAACTTGGTTAAAAGAGAGATCTCATTCAAACTTGTTATCCTTTAGATTTAAGAGCCAGTTGTTATCTCGTTATTGTATTATTATTCTTTATTTTTAAGAATTAGTTGTTATCTCATTCTTGTATTTAACTATTGTGAATGTTAATAGAAGATACACTTTTGAGCATTCCTCTGTTACCACACCCATATTAAAAATTTGATAAAAAATTTAATAAATTATTTAAAATCTAGCATCACTCAATTTTTTAACCTATTGTATATTATTATTACTTTTTTTTAGCTCCATGGCAAACGAAGCTGTATGTGGAGATTTGCTCAAGCGAGTCACTTCAGTCATAGCAAGAAGGAGCTCTGTGATGTGATCGGAGCATCGTGGATTCCTCGCCCGCTCTGGTCGAGATCTTCTCTTTCGATCCCAATTCCACTTCTCTCTCTTATCAACCCTTGCTATTCATTCCTTCCCTCTCCCTCTCCCTCTCTAAATTTATCTGATTTTTTGAATCCTGGACTATATTGCTGCCATTTACAGGCAAAGTATGTGTTTGAAGAAGGAGACCCTGTAAGCCTAGCTGTCCATCCAAATGGAGACGACATAGTTCTCTCTCTCTCTCCCTCTCCACCAGCGACTGCAAGTAATTTTCCATTTCTCTCTCTAATCTTTCGTTTTCTTTTTTCTCCTTTTTTCCCTAATTGTGAATTTTGGTATGATTTCACGAGTATAATTGTGCATTTGCAGAAATTGCGATAGTTTAGTTTAGTTTTTTATTTTATTTTATTTTATTTATTTAATGCATTTGAACAATTGTTTTCCTGTAACTAGCAATTTTTAAGGGAAACTACATGGGAAAGAGAAAAAAAAAACCAAAACATGGAGGGCACCCCCATGGACAGACACACTTGCACCCATGTGATGTAATTTTTTTCTCCTTCTCCTGCATGTAATTCCCCTAATTTTTATGCTGTCCCGTGTTAAAAAGGTGAGTAAAGGTTTTATTTGATATGAAGTACTTCAATGGACAAACTCAGATTAAAACATAAATTGGAGTAAAAGCTTCAGTAATGGCAGAGCCGTAAATTTGAACGCTACAAAAGGTCTAGAAAAATTTGAGTAAACATTTGAGTCTCGCTTGATTTAGGTAAAAAAAATGGGGGAATAACAACTCATTTTGATATAATAAGATACAATAAGACTGACTCTATGTCTGGCCTATATCATTCGTTTTCTTTAATTTTATGCCTAAGATGTCTCAAATTAACTTCTATATTCATACAGATACTTATTTGCTGAAAGCTTGGTAAGCTAGTTGTGTAAGTTTGGAAGATTAGATCATTTCAACATGTAACTAACATTTAATAATGTACTTGTTTTTACATGCAGATTTTGAGTTATATGGCCAGAAAGCAAGTACTGAGTTGCTAGCCAAAGAACATTCTCTTCAAGGTGTTGGTCCTCCACTAGCGCTGCAAATGAACCGAGCCGAGCCGAGCCGAGCTTTGCTGAGCTCGAGCTCGGCTCGTTTACTTATCGAGCTCGTTTATTAAGCTCAAGCTCGGCTCGATAAGGAGCTGGGCTCGGCTCGGCTCGGCTCGATAATTTTTTTTTAATATTATTTATATTATTTAATATATAAAAAATGTATTTATATATATATTTATATATTTTTTATGGAGGAACACAATGAAGAAGATTGTGTGTCGATTATGAAGTCCCTTGTTAAGAAAGAAGATATTGAAGTTGAGGCAAGAGAGTTAACTGCCACACCTCTTAAAAGATATGTAACAATGGTTGTAGATAATGGATGTGCTAAAGTGGATATGCAATTATGGGTGCAAATCAGAGCCCTATACGGAGACGTATTCCCGAATTAGGGCCCACTTGATTGGGTTGTTACCCAGACAAAAATCTCAGGGAGTGGCCTTATGCTCAAAAGTAAGCAAGGAAGAGGGGGGAAAATTGAAAAAGGAAGAAGATGAAGCCAAAAGAGTTTTTGGTGGTTGCACCCGCTGAACACCTATTTTTGGTGTTCCAGTTGTTTCACAGGGACACAGAACAACCACAAATGTGTCTATGCACAAAGGGAAAGACTTCTCTGATAAGTACAAAGTATCCTCCAAAGATGAGGCAGATGGGTCAGTTGCATGCTTTTTCTACGGCTGTGGAATACCCATAAACATAGCAAAGTCTCCGTTCTGGGTTGATATGGTTCGCGCTATCAATGAAGCACCCAAAGGATATGAGCCACCGAGCTCAGAGAAGATGAAGACTACGCTTCTTGAGAAGGAAAAAACTAAAGTTGATCAATCATTAGTGTTTATTAAGCAACAGTGGCTGACATATGGGGTTTCTATTATAGCCGATGGTTGGATGAGTGTCAAGAATAAATCGTTTATCAAAGTAATGGCAGTTTCAGAGCATAAGGCTATGCTCATTAGTGGACTGGATTGTTCCAGAGACAATGTCTCAAGTGAATTTATTGCTGAGATTTTGTTAAAAGCAGTTGAATCTGTGGGCACCTTTAATGTTGTGCAAATTTTAACTGATAATGCACCGACTTGTAAAGCTGCTGGGTGAATCATTGAAACAGCATATCCTCATATTTTTTGGTCAGGTTGTGTAGCTCATACTCTCGGTCTCTTGTGAAAGATATGGTGAAGTGAGTGCACCCAAGTTTAGCCTTTGTTGCTAATTGTTACAAGAATGTGAAAGGGGTCACCGACTATTTGAAAAATCATTGTTTGTCATTGTACATATTCCGTACATTTCCTGAACTTGATGGTTTTCAAGTAAAAAAGAAAAGATACGGGCAACATTTTTTAGTACTAGATCGTATTCTGCGGGTGAAGAATGCTTTGATCAATATGGTTTTGAGTGAGGAATGGGATAAACTCCAGAGAGGTAGGTCAAATTCAAAGATGCAGCATGACACGGTGAGAAAAACCATTCTGGATGATGATTTCTGGAAGAAGTTGAAGACCATTGTGACATTCACAAGACCCATAATGGGATTTGATATGTTATTGTGATTCAGATAGAGCTTGTATTGGGGAAGTTTATCAAAGATTTGATGATATGTTGGGATCCATTAAAACGACATTGCCGGATAATGCTGATCTCCAAAATCTTGCTGAACGATGGAACAAGATGGATGTACCGCTACATACTGTTGCCTATGTACTTACTCCACGTTACTATTCAGATCATTGGTTAAAAAAATTGGCTCCGGGTGGAAAGAAAAGAAAGAAACCTCATGCTGATCCCGATGTTCAAAAAGTCTATTTAGATGTTGTCGATGGGCTTGTGACGGACTCCAAGGAAGCATCTTTAATTTGTCAGCAACACAGAGTGCTCCGGAGCTTTACAGTTTGTCAATTAAAGTTTTATCCCAATGCATTAACCCGACGTGTGCTGAAAGAGAATTGGCTACCTGTGAATACATACGTGACGTGAAGAAAAACAAAATGAATGCTGGCCGCGCAGAGTCTTTGGTCTATGTTCATTATAACCATCGATTGTTGACAAGGAACCGAGAGGATTATGAGGGGCCATATTGGAACTGGGATAATTTTCTTACTGACGATAATTTGGAGATTGACTTAGAAGGAATTGAAGATAAAGAATATGCAATGCTTCATGGTAATGAAATTAAGGCAGCTCAGTCCTCGCCATTTGGAACAACTTCCACGCGTTATCAAACTTCGACTCGAGGATCTTCCAAATTGCAAGTGAAAGAGATTGTCAGCAGTAAAAGGCCACGCATGAGGTAATTAGTCTAGTCTTTTTCCGTCTTGCTTGCGATGAGAAAAAAGATCAGTTAGATGGGGTTGTCGTGGCGGTTGTATTTTTGAATGATCTTGTAAATAAACTATTATGTAGTGAAATTTTCATTAACTTGTTTGTTTTGAACTGAGCTTTTGGATGGGGGTAGAATTTCAAAGTGAAGTCTGCTTTGTATTTTACTTCTTACATGCATGACTGTTCCGAGGAAGGCAACTTTTGGTATCATTTTCATTTTATGGATTTATATTTTGACGAACAGAAAAATTGTTTATCAAACTATTTACGAAAATTATATTCATGAAAAATTTCTGAAAACCGACTTTCTAAACAAAACAATTGTTTTCACACAAACAAAAACAATGGTTATTTTCAAAGTTTTTAATATTTTTGTTTCAGAAACCCAAAAAAAAAACAAATTGAGACCAAGAAAGTACTATTTAGCCTCTGTTTGGCAAGTTGGTTCTTGGACTTTTTTGACTATTTTAGCCACAAAAGACAAAATAGGCTATTTTAGCCATAACAAACAAAACATCATATCCAACCCATAATCATTACATTCTTCTCTCACAAAAAAACTCAAAAAAGTCAAAAAGCCAAAAAGCCCTTCCCAAACCAAGCTTTTAAGCCCAGGCTAAAATAGCCAAAAAAGCCAAAAAGCCAAAAAGCCAACCCACTTCCCAAACGGAGGCTTAGTAGGTCTATCTTTTGTTTCTGTCACAATTCCGAAAATGTAGGTAGTATTTTTTTACAGGAAACAATCCAGAAACAAATAGAAGGAAAAAAAAGCAGTGTCATCTTCAATGTTATTCAATCCTCTGAATATAAATCTGAGACGTATTTCATGTATTGATGAGGCAGAAGGTTTAATACACAAGATTGAGGGATTAAATTTCCATTTTTTTGGTCAAAACAAAATTTATTCTGCTACAAATCAGCTTACTTTAATTGGCATTGTCGGCTTCAATGGTTTCTTTTGCTATCTCGTTCCAGCTTATCAGATGCCAGTCACATTACTGTCAAAAAAACACTAGGCAATCGACTCATTTAAATTTCTGAAAATGAATAAATTTTTTTTTTAAAATATCTAGAATACAAAAAGCAACCATAAAATATTCTCACTTCACTCAACCCTGTTAATCTGCTTTGGCTATATCATTCCTCTTCTCTTCTAATAGAAGTGACGTGCAAGACAACAGTGACGACAACTCTTCTTGCGTTGCCAATCCAAAACCTTGCCACCGTACTCTACCAAAATTGTCGAGCAAGAATATGTACCTGTGGAGTACCAAACACAAAATCAAGCTTCAGAACTACCAAATCTCATATGGGCTAATAATGGTGGAAATTACAAAACAAAGAATGATTCGTACCCAGTGAGAAGGTTCAATATTTTAAGCTCTTTTCTTAAGTAATAATGGTCCCCAAATGAATAAACAATCTGTCTCTGCAGCACATTATCCTTTCCATCAGGTTTAGATTTCTTCATTATCCGAAGGAGTAGCCGCTTAATTGGATTAAGCGACAGTAGCCATGAGTCTATTAAGGAGACCTAAACATGCAATTACTTGCTTATCAATAATGTTACTGCATATCATTATAATGTATCTTAAATGTACCAGCTAAAAATTGTGCTCTGTTTTTCATTTCCCCAAAATTTTCTTCCTAAGGATAATAACAATATAGGTAAATTACTGAAATAAATAATCCAGGTTTTCAACAATGGCCTCCAGCATAAGCAAATGTTCAAAGAATTAAATGAGTTTTCATTTTAAGAAGCTAGTAAGGTATGTAATAAGGGGGCTTTTGTTTTCAAATTTAAAACTATAAGCTGGAAACAAATGCAAATAACTGAACCAGTCTTCCAATTTAGCAATAAAAATCTAGTACCTCGTATAACTTAATTTTTTCTGAGTTACTGAAAGCCTCAAGAAAAGGCACACTCCAAGAATCAACCATTGCCTGTCAAAGAAGATAAATTTAAGGACAGCAACTATACAGGAAAGCTGAACTTCCAGCAAATTGTCTTTAAAATATTTATTGGCATAACTGAAAACCTTAAACAATGCTATGTTTTTTTGAACAACGCCATTTTTATAACAAGCCAAGTCTGCAAATTAGGGCTGTTCATGGAACCCGGAGACCCGACAAACCCGTCCGGTCCGAACCAATCTGATGAGCTATGGACAGTTTTATTTATAGAGATGGTCGGCTGCGGATGTAACTTCTCCATTTTTTCAATTTTACGGTTGGTCAAGGGTGGTACACATAAAAATCCGATAAATCCAATCCGACCGATAAAATATTTAAAAAATATATTTACCCTCCACGTGTTTAGATTGAACTCATATTTTATATGCTAGAGAACTGTAAAGACAGCCTAGGGAACTCAAATTCCCTTCAGAAAAAAAAAAAAAAATATCCTAGGCAACTCTAAAGACAGCCTAGAGAACCCAAAACCCTTTCAACTATCTCTCTCTCTCTGGTATAGTTTTTCACAAAAGGATGGTGATGGTGGCTCTTCCCCCAACTTGTCTCACAGTAGTGAAGATGATGGTGGTGATCAAAATGGCAGTAGCAGTGGCAGACTCGTGGTGGTAATGGCGCAAGCAGATTGGTGGTGATGATAAGTTCCTTTTTTCAATGTATCATATCTCCTCTCTTTTAGATCCTTCTCTCTCCATGTGAATACTTTTCTTCATTCTTTGAGGTCTGTGTGTGTGATTTTATTATTTGTATTCGAAAACTCTGAATTAATTTCTTAGATTTGATTGAGTGAATGGTAAAGTTTCTGTGTTGTTTGAGCTCTCTGCGAAACCGTTGAAATCGACCGACAATACCGAATCAGTGTGCGGTCGAGTTTCAGCACACTGGCGGTCGACATCGGATGAAAAAAGCGTTGAACCGAAAGGGTCGGTTCGAGTGGTGGTTTAAACACTGAATCCGAGCCGACCGACCTGTGAACAGCCCTACTACAAATATTGTAAATTTTACTTCTATGTATTCCCATGTTTTGTTTCTCGAGTCCCAACAAATGGAGCACTTGAACATCATGAAGATCAAAGTCAAACACAATAGAATATGTGATGCGAAATGTGGCATGGAAATTTTATTTATTTTGTAATTTTGTATTTATATTTATTCATTTTTTTATCGATGGTTTATTTCGGATCTTAGTATATTTAATTACTAATTTTATTAGTGATTTAAGTTTCCAATAATGTTATGATTTAGTTACCTATTTTAAATTAGGGTTTCGAGCTTATAAGTACTAGGTCTTTACATTGTAGTCTATAGCTTCAAAAAATATATGGTGTGTTTAAAGGTTGTGGCCGTTTGTGTTAGGGCTCGGTTTGGTTTGGTTCGGTTTGGTTTGGTATTCTTCTTGATATATATATATATATATATTTATCTTCCCATTGGATCAATTCTCCATACAGATTTAGAATCAATTGAAAAGTTAACGAATTTCTTAATAGCTGTGCTACATCAATATGACTCAAGTCCAAGCTTAGAGAGACCAGCCATTAGCTCATTTAAAAAACTATCATCCACTCTTTATTTTCGCTTTTGAACTTCTGCCTTGTGATTTGGGCCTATTGAAAACATTATCCAACGTTTCTTCTCTTCCCTTTTCCTTTTTGGGCACAAAAAAATGAGAGAGAGAGAGAGAGAGAGAGGCAACCTAGGAAATAAAAATGTCATTGTCTTTAGAGCATAAGAAAGTTAAATATGCTTGATGACGAAGTTTTGACAAACAATTTATCCATAGGTGACCATATGGATCTTCTATTGAGGAACACAGGTAAACTGTCAATGTAAATCTACAAGAAGGCTCACGAATGGCAAATTTTTACATGTTATGCACTTTGAATGGGCAATTGACATAGATCTGCTTTTTATTTTTTCCCAGCTTCATATATATGATTTTTTTACCTAAGATCTAAAATATTCTTTTGCAAAAGGATTACTATGCCTTCTTAAAATAGGATAAAATATTATATTGAGATATAGTCAAAAAAATGTAAAGCATTTGAGCAATAATGAAAACTACGATGATAAATCATAACAGACAACTATATATTTTAAACCTGAGAACTTGCTCGGAATGAAAGACATAGTAAGGTTGCCTTTGGGACAACTGACTTGTATGCATCAACACCATTCCCACTAGAAGTCATCGGCAGCTTAAGAGTTGTACCATCCGAATAATTCACTTCTAGTGCTGGAAACTTCACAGCTGCCATTGCCGGAATTATAATCTTATTTGCCAATGCAATCTATACAAAGCAATATCACTAAATTCCAATCACAAATTAACAACAACAAAAAAAAATCCAAAATCAAACAATAAACTCAATAATAATTCCACAAAAAGTACATTACAACAATTGATATTCAATACCTTACCACCATGTTGCTTCATCTCAGAAATGTCAGCAAAGTAACCCCTATTCATCTCATCTGCACTGCCCTAGATAACATTACATTAAGTAGTATAACAGTTCAAATTCAATTCATGGACTATACAAGGAGGAATTGAGAAAGTGTACAAAATACAATATAGATATCGAAATGTACAGTCGAGCACGCTCTTTCTCGATCGCAGCTTTGTTTCCAATCTGTAATCAAAAGAGTTTTCAATACAGAATACCAATAATTACACGAAAATTTGAGTTATATGTTTGTGTATTGTTTTAGGCTTAAAATGACGGAGAATTTAAGATTTAACACTTCTAAATGAAACTTTTTCTTATCCATTTTGCTATTCATTTATTTATTTTCTCGGAAAGCAAACAAAAGGAAAACGAACCAGACCTGGTAAATGTCGAGGAAGCGATTTGAGGACCTTTGTGATGGATTATGTGAAGGTATGAGAAAGATCGGTTTGTCTTCCATTGTGAAGAAGATTCGAGAACTGAGAATTCTTGGTGCCCTAGAGCTCAACCGCTTCAACCGCAACATCTTCGACCTGATTTCCTCTCTCTCTCTCTCTACTCTCGTCTGGTGTCTGAGACTCTCTCTCTCTCTCTCTCTCTACCTCGCATCTCAAGCAGGACGTTTGGGCCTAGGCCCAGTTACGACTACACGGAGAAATAGTGACGCTAACTGGGTCGTAATTGAGCCTATTTCAATAAGACCACGTTTGAAGTAACCCACGGACACGAATTCGAAAGGGAAAATTACTCGTTGGACCGGTTTGAAACATGTGTATACTATTTTACTTAATAACGTTTTGAGTAGACTCAAAAATTCTACACTTTCTCTCTCTCTCTCTTTTCTGTATGTTTCTCTCATTTTCTTTGTCATATCTGACGACTGGTGATCACACCTTCTTTATTCTCTTTCTCTTTCTAATATATAGTCGTCGGTGACTGACGATCATCATTGGTTGGGGTTCACCGGCAACCACCAACTACCGACATCAACTCGTTATTTCATTTTCATCGATGGCGAAGAAGATGAGTAGATCTATATCAAATCTGAGTAGATCTGCATGTGATCCAACTAGATCTAAACAAAAAATAGTTGCCATAGTACAATATTCTTTCTATATCTATTCTTTTATTTGATTTTTTCAATTTTTCTACCTTTTCTTTGTTACACATGTCTATTTTTATGTTTTAATGGAGAAAAATTTCAAATTCTGAATAAGTTGTTTTCAGTTTTAGTTACAGTTTCAGCTTCAGCTTTTTTTTGGTGTTGAAATGAATCATGCTTTAAAACTGTAAAATTTTACAGTTTCATAACATTCTTTAGAACTGTAAAATTTTACACTTTCACAACATGCTTTCCAGCTTAATAGAATAATACTTTGAAACTGTAACATTTTATAGTTTTAAAGCTTACTTTTCAATTTGATCAACATTACAGATTATTTGCTTAGTTGTTTGTTGTTGTTATGTTTTTTAACTATAATTTCTCCATATATATGTATATATATATTTCCTGGCAATATTCTGAATATTTTGGTGAGTTTTCGATGATATTTTTGACATTTTCCAATGACGTTCAAAACACTCTGCGCGAACTTTCGACGATGCTCAAAACAATTTGGTGAACTTCCGGTGATGCTTCGGCGATTTTCCGGTGATGTTGAATATTCTGGCGAGTCTTCGGTGAGTCTGACGGAAGTCGTTGGATGTATCAATATTTTTAAAGTGATAAAAAAAAAAAATTGGTAACAATTAAAAATATGTAAGACTAATTGGTGCAAGTATTTTGTTTTGGAATTAGATGGATTTTGAACTTTGTGTATTGGTAAGTGCCCCAATTCAAAACGACATGACACAACATGATAAAGTGAAAGACAAATATGTTAGAGCATTTCCAATATTTGTCTTTTTTTTATAATTTTTTTATTTTTATATATTTTTTATATCAAATTTGAGTATAGATTTGGGTAAAAGGTTTTATTTTATATCAAACATTCTAACGCTAAATTTTTAATTTTTATCGAACAACCGGTTCACCGGGAGGATGTCCGGGGTGGTCGTCCGGTCTAGTGTAAATTTTCTTCTAATTTTCTCCAATTAAGTTGTCCACCCAATTGTCTGGCTGGTTGTTTATTTGATTGACCGATCGGTCATCTATCCAATCGTCTACCAATGGTCATTTATAAGATTTGATGAAAGGTTAAACGATCTCTTGATTTGAAGAAAAATATAGGGCTCATTTCATTTGATACTAATTTGGTAAAACAGTTGAAACACCACTTTTATTAATTTTTCATCAAATTTAAATTTAATGAAAGATTTGAATATGAGTTGGAGAGGGTCTTGTGTAGTTTACCCTAATTAATTTTATGAACAAAAATAAGACAAACAAGACTTCTATGTAATTTTGACTATAAAAATTTCAAAGCGAGAAATGTTTTTTCCAGTAATGATATTTCATTTTAATTGTGTGATATAAACATAATTTCACATAAATCACGAATGCACGTAACTTAATAAAATATTATTTTGTAATTAACTTTACTGTTGATTTTATTATGTCTTGGACCGCCATATACGCCTTGTTAGCGGCCAAACAATGGTTGACCATTATTGAAGGTAATAATAATAAGAAGAAAAAATTAATTCTCTACTTTTTGTATTTTCTTTAAGAGAAAATTAGTCCAAAATTTCTCTTCTATTTTAATAATGGGAGAGGTCCACAATATTATTTTATGATGTCTAAGATCCCTCATACACTACCATACATCTCCCTCCATATCCAATCTTCCTGGAGAGAAGAACACATAGACCGATCTTCGAATTCGAGATTTCAAAGTTTGGTCTTCTTCCTCGCCAGATAATCTGGCAAAGGCTTCCAGCTTCGGACCCACCACTAGATATACATACACAAACTCCTCATCCATCTATTTTCTAGGGTTCGCAGAGATTTCGAGCCTAGACCTCTTTCTTCATGGGGAGGAGTAAGTGCCTTTTCGCTCTATCTATCTATATCTATATCTATATCTATATATATGCATATGTTTGTGGTTGCTTAGATTTGTATCTATCTGAATTTTTTACTGTATGATTTTCTATATATTCATAGATCCATTGAAGATTTGAATTTTCTGATCTAAAAATATTTTATTCTTTGTGCTTGTTGTTTCATTGAGACTTCAATTGATATTTGTAATTCAATTTTCCATGTGGTGCTGTGAAATCTGAGAAATGTGTGTGTGTGTGCTGTGTGTTTTTTTTTTTTTTTTTTTTTTTTTTCTTTTCTTATGACCCCAAAAGCACTCCCTGTTGATTTCTGATATTCTTATTGGATTTCATTTTACATCTTGAATCGATTTTTCCTTTCAATTTCAATTATGTTTTCATTCATTTTTCTATCAACCCTGTTTCTTTGCTACAGAAAATTCTCTGGTTTAAAATTGTGAACAAACATGTGAAGAAAGTCAGAAAAATTTTCTGTGAACAAAATTAGAGAAATTTCAATTTTCTCTAGATTTCTTTGGAAAAAGAAATTCTCTGGAAAGTCCAGAGAAATTGGAGAGAATTTCTCTAGGAAGTCCAGAGAAATTCTTTGAAAAATCTAGAGAAATTCTCTGAAAAGCCAGAGAAATTCTTTGAATTGAATTTTCTCTAGATCGATGTTAAGGAACCTTAGACATTATAAAAATATTAGATGTCCTTTATGTTATAAAATCTTAATACCATGGATCTTAAAAAAAGGAGGTACTTACGTGTAGGTCCTAATAAGTGGACTTATTGTCTAATAGGTCCTATGAGAAAAATTTATCATAAAAAAGTCACTAATTGTAAGTTTTAGCGTCAATTTATAAAAATCATGACAAAAAAAGTCACTAATTGTCAATTTTTAGTGACATAAAAAAATTGTCACAAAAATATTATTTTTAGCGACATTTTTACCAAGACTTATTTTCAATAGGACTTTACGGGAATTAAGTTCAACTATTAGGACCTATTGATAGTTTACCCTAAAAAAATCCCTCCCCCCCCCTCCCTCTTTTATAAACATTTCAAAATTGTTTATAAATAAATAAATTTTTATAATCTCATATTTAATTAAAAAATTATTAAAAAAGTCAATTCTCAAATAAACTCTTAATATGTGATGCACTCCACATCAATGTATGTTCCGTAATTGTGGGCTCTACATATATTTGAGAGAAAATTATAAACCGCCATCATAAATGTTACACAAAGTAACCATGTTTGATAGATTTTAGAAAATTTTATTGACAGGTTACTCAAAAAATTTTAACTATACAAATTTTATTAATTTTTTAAAACTAATAAACCTTTGAACCTGTTCTATTTTGGTAGGATCAGTTTAGGAATATTTTCACAAAATTTTGGTGTAGTGTAGAGCCTAAAAACAGGCTCAATTCGTGTAAGACAAAATTAGTCTCCAGAGAAACAAGATTCAGTTTTGGTTGATCTCTCTCTCTCTCTCAATGTTCTCTTTCTGCTCCTATATCATTCCTATAATCTATGAAAACAAGATCTCTATATTTATTGGTCAATCACATGTTCGAAGAAAATCTCACAGGCAGCATCTCTGTGAATAGGAGAAAGATGGGTTAAAAATCATCACAACTTTACAAAGCAGTTCCAGGATAGTTACAAGAAATATAGGACTTACAATACCAATGACAGGAGGAAGCCAGCCTTAATACAAAGCCTGTGGGCCTTCCTCCCGTAGCACAGTGGATAAAGCATGGAACATTCCTCTGTACTGATAAGAAGACTTCTCTGTCTGCAAAAGTAAGTCAAAACGAAATATGCAGTTCTTCCAATGGAAACACACCATGAGAAGCTACCCAATATTCACAAAGAAAACCTGCAACACTTCCAAGTTCCAAAGAGATAAGCGTCCTTGAGGAGCAAAAAATACCTATGCCACGAACCATGTCCATAGGGTATGTTGCGGACATGGCAATTATTCCAGCACAGGTTCCAGCTCCAAGGCATAATACAGGAGTGAGCTGAGCATCTTCTGCAATCGAATAATGAATGCAACGTATCAGATAGTCCACATATTCTTTGTAAATTGCCATTTATGAGCATATTTCAACAAATCAAAGAAAAGTTTTGGATTACTCTAGGAGATGCAGAACGCATTACTGTTAATTTGAATTTCGATTGTTTAAAACCAAAATAACAACTGGCCTCCTACAATATCCATAAACTAATAAATGACACGTCAAATCTACATAAATGAGTTTCTGGCCCCAGAAGAAAGACAACAATAAAACAGAAAGCAAAAGATGGGCACACCATTGCCAGTTTGCTGCTGGTATAGAGTTAAGGTACCCCTATTGCATTATAACAAGAAACTGTCAGCAAAAGAATATATGCTGAATAAATAGTTGAAAAGTGCGCTGAGCAATGTGAGGAAAATAAAATTATAATTTCTGTAAGCCTCTAATGTGGTTTTTATAAGACCTTCAAAAAGTATTGTAAGTTCTGCGGCAATGACATCACCCACAAACACCTTTGTCCATGCATTCCCAAATACAAATTTGAACCAGATTAACAAGTGAACAACCAAAAGAATTCATTAAATGTTTATCCAATTTGCAGAAGTT